TGGCAGTAAAAAAGATGTGGGGGGGGGCGAGTACTAGTGTGCTCAGACGACATGTATTTTGAAAACGTAAATTGGTTGTAAAGGTTATCATTAAAAATAGGTGAATTACTTTGCTAGTTAATTTAAACACTTTTGAGGCTTTTCTTCTGTTTTTACCCTCCATGATTAACTGACACCGATGTTTTCGTGCGGGCATTGTCTTGATGGTCAATCTGAGACACTATCCGTGAAAAGGGAACAGAGTTTGCTTACGGATAGTGTCTCAAGATTGATCAAATCAGACAAGTGCCGCACGGAACAATGCGTTTCAGTAATATGGAGGTAAAAAACAGAAGAAAAAGCTCAAAAGTGTTTAAATATAATGAAAAGTAATTCACTATTTTTAAAATGATAAACCTTTTACAACAATTTTACTTTTTAAAAATATCAGTATGAGGCACACCTAGTACTCACATCTTAGTTTTAATGCCAATCTCCAATAAAAAGAACCAGGGGGCTGGGCGTGGTGGCTCACACTTGTAATTCTAGCACTCTGAGAAGCTGAGGGTGGAGGCGATGCTCGGGTCAGGGAGTTTGAAGGTCAGTGACTAGGCGATGCCGATGCATTCTAGAGAGAGTGACAGAGTGAGACTGTCTCCAAAATAAAAAAAAGTAGAAAAAATAATTAAAAATAAAAAGAACCAGGGCTTTTTGGAGAAAAAATGGGCCCACTCTAGGCACTGGCACGAACAAATAAAAGATGATCCTGGAGCAGCTTGTAATGCCGGAAAGGAAAAGTAAGGAAGTTCTTAATAAAAACAAACAAACAAAAAAGCCTCCACAATGATGAGATTTTTTAAAAGGAACATTTCTTATCCATCAAAAATTCATTCCAAATGTTCCATTATGTCTGTCAAAAAGATCTGTGAAATTCCTTTTCAAAATATCTAAATACATGAAATCATCAGTTACATACACCATCACTGCCCCAAACCTTATTGCTCTGCCATTCTGCTGCAGCCTGGCCTTGGTTGTTATAGTAACCAGTCTCCAAAGATGCCTCCTCTACCACCCCAACGAACCACATTGTCTGGTGTTCATATCCTTATATTGCTGCCTCCACTTAAATCTGAGATGGCCTTATAACTTGCCTTTTGACCAACAGAATACTGTGGAAATGATTCTGAATGACATCTAAGGCAAAGTCATAAGAACCTTTGCAGATTTTTCCTGAGCCTATTGGAATGCTTTGTCCCCACCCCCCCCCACCACCACCCAGACTTTCTCTCTTTTTACCAGGCCAGAGTACAGTAGCTCTATCATGGCTCATTGCAACTGTAAGCTCCTGCACTCAAGTGATGCTACTGGTTCAGCCTCCTGAGTAACTGGGACTACAGGCACATACCGCCAGGCTTGGCTAATTTTTATTTTCTGTAGTTAGGGTTTCACTATGTTGCCCAGGCTGCTCTTGAATTAATTCCTGGCCTCAAGTATACTCCCACCTTGGCTTCCCAAAGTGCTAGGATTACAGATGTGAGCCACTGTACCCAACCTAAATGCTCATTTTTGAGAAAGCTAGACGCTATGTAAAAACTTCATCTACTTCTAGAGGTAACACACAAGGACAAAAACCAAAAAAACAACAAAACAAACTTCATCTACTGTGAGCCTGCCATGCTGTGAGGAAGCCCAAGCTGCCATGTGGGAAGGCCATGTGGAAAGAGAAAGTTGGCAGTCCAGCTCTGGCTCTTCTAGTCATTCTATCAAGTTGCTAAACATGCGAGTGATAAAGTCCTCTTGATCAGTCATGTGAAGGAGAAAGTAATCTTGGACAAATAGTCCAATCTAGTCTTGAGATGACTCCAGCTCCAGCCACTGCAACTGAGGGAGAATTGCCCAGCTTGGCACAGTCAACACAGGGAATCGTGAAAAGTGGTTTGTTCAGGCACTAAGTTTTTGAGTGGTTTATGATGCAGCGAAACAGTTCCCCACAAAGTCTGCTCTGCAATTGTCTATTTAGGATTTTCCTTCCCGAGTTGGATGTCCTATTACTGGATCCCGTGAGTTTCTGTTTTGTGGTTAATTCTCCTGTTTTGCTACAGATTTCCCTTCTATAGCTTTCTAAGAAAGGAGGTATGAGAAGAAAATTTTGAGTTCATATATGTCCAAAAAGGTCTTTATTGTGCTCTTACACATGAGTAATAGATTGGGAATAGAATTCAAGTTTGAAATTCACTTTCCCCTCTAAATTTTGAAAGCATTCTGCATTTTCTAGCTTTGCTGTTTAGAAGATCAATGCCACTCTGATTCCAAATCCTTTCCATGCAATTTGCTTTTGTTTTGTTTTCTCTCTACAGTCTTTTCATACCTTTTCTTTATGTCTTTTGTTCTCATCTTACATGATAAAGTGCAATTTTGGTGGGGATCTTTTCATTCATTGAGTTTAGCATCTTGTGGCTCCGACTGGAGACTCGTGTCTTTTAGTTATAAGAATCTTTTATTATTATTATTATTATTATTTTTTTTATTTATTATTGTTTTTTTGGATATGGGGGTACAGATTTAAGGTTTCCAATAAATGCCCATTTCCCCCCTCCCCAAAAGTCTGAGTCTCATCATGACCATCCCCAGGATGTGCACATCTCACTCACTATGATGTATGTATATATACCGCCGCCCCTCCCCTCCACTGCCAATACCCTATTACTGTAGCACCTATGTGTCCACTTAGGTGCTACTCAGTTAATATATTATTTTTTATATAATTTCCTCCTCTCTGTTTCCTTCTTTAATTTTCTGGAATGACCCTAGTCATTTGATTTTGTAGATGATTATACTTTCTAGAAAATTTCCTTAACTTTATTTTTCAAATCTTCCGTAAAATTTGGGGATGGGTATTATGTTTTATTTCTAAAAACTCTTTCTTATGCTCTGATTTTTCATTTTTGTAACTTCTCTGTTCTTTCTTATGGATGTATAATCTTTTTTCCAAGAAAATATTAGCTTTTGAATTCTAAAGAAAGTTTTCCTTTGCTTTCCCTGTTGTCTTTGTCTTTATGTTGAAGACTTTCCTCAAATGTCTGATGATCCTTAGTTGTCTAGTCATATATAAAAGTGACACACTAAAAATTAATTCAAGGCTGAGTGCAGTGGCTCATACCTGTAATCCCAGTACTTTGGGAGGCTGAGGTAGGAGGATCCCTTGAGGCCAGGAGTTCAAGCCCAGCCTGGGCAACATAGTGAGACCCTGTCTCTACAAAAAATAAGGAAAATTAACTGGGTATAGTGGTGCATGGCTATAGTCCCAGCAACTCTGAAGGCTGAGGCAGGAGGATTATTTGAGCCCAGGGGTTCGAAGCTACAGTGAACTATGATCATGCCAATGCAGTCCAGCCTGGGTGACAGGGTGAGACCCAATCTCTAAATTAAGAATAATAAATAAATAAGTAAATAAATACTAATTTGAAGTTCTGCATGTATGGCTGAGGTTCGTGCACTGGTGACTTTATCGAAGGGGGCTTGAGAGGTATTGCTGCAGGCACCCAAATATCAATGTCTGTAAATATTTTACTGAGGTCATTCAGTTTATTCAGAGATTAAATCTGCCAGGTCTGGGAGTAGCATAGGGAAAGGATCCCACAGTTCCTTGGGCATTCAGTAGAAAGATTTTCTCTGAATCCTTCTATTTTCACCCTTGCCCCTTGTCTGTCTGGCTTCTCTGAGGCCAGAACCTCATCTGATATTGGTATTTTCACTGATACCTTCAGTGTGAGCAATGTTGAATGTTTGAGCCTCGTTTGGCTGGTTATAATCAAATGAGGATTAAAAGAAAATCTAGAACCTCTGTGCATCCTCAGATTTCCTATCTGGTGCTAGGTAGGAACCAATCACAGGTAGGCTTGGTCTTATGGTGGTATTACCCTAAGGGTCACAGGTCAAAGGAACATGGGCGATTAAGCATGGACTTTGGAATCGGAAAATCTTGGGCTTGGGTCTGTTTCTACAGCTTTTTAGCTGTGGGTATTAAGTAATGTATTTAACGTCCTTAAGCTTCAGTTTCCTTTTCTGTTAAGTAGAAAAAAACAATATCTATCTCTTAGGGGTGTGAGAATTAATACATCTATATCGCTTAGCAGAGAGTCTAGAATATAATTAAGCATTCAGTAAATAATGGTGATGTTATAATCCTGTTTTAAAAACACATCTGGTTGGTGAGCATTAACTTGATTCCTCTTCTAACTTGTCCTGTGGTGTTTGATGTATCATCGAATCTACGAAATCCAAAAGGACCATGTATACCTTAGCGTACAGGGCCTGCAATCTGGTTTGTAAATTACCTTTTGTGCTCTTCCCTTTCCAGTGGCTTCACTAACAAGTGGTGGAGTTGGGCCTAGACCTTGGGTCTGTTTGTTGCCTAAGCCCGTCTTGTAACCACCACAGTGAGCTTCCTCTCCCTAACCTCCTTTTTCCTTTCCCAACAAACTCCAAAGGTATTTTGGCTTATGTGATCAATGACTGCAGCTCTGCTTTTCTTTCTCCATTCTTAGGGCAGGGGGACCTGGACTCGGACCCAGAGCGGGGTGGAGCCAGGTCCAGCCTACCTTTCCTTTGGCCCCCCACGAGGAATCCACGTGTAAACAATTGCCAGTGGGTAGAGTTGATTGCATTTTATCATTCTGCAGAGCAGTCAGGTTGACCGAGGCTCGCGCCCAGATTATACACGCGCATGCGCTTGTGCACCTGTAGAAAAGCCCACTACCTGCACGGACGGAGACACATGTACGTCGCCCACGTTGTCACTCCCCCCACACTCTGGTCTCCAGGAGCAAAGTGCTCAGCACATTTTGCCTCACACCGCCGATTGAGGGAGGCCATTCAGGACAGGGGAAAGGGAAGATAATGAGGCAAAAAGGGAAATGAAACTAAAGGGGGCCACCGTGTCAGCATTAACTGGGGTATAAGAAATGGGCTTTGGACAGACAGACAGACTCCTGGGGCCCGTTAACCGTGAAAATGTCCAAAGGACTTCTCCTTCTCTGGCTCCTGATTGAGTGTGGGCGGCTTTATCTGAGTAAGTGTCCCGAAGCTGTCCGTGGAGGCGTCCCTGGTGGCTTGTGATGATGGGATGGATTTCCATGCACTGCTTTGGGCCTCTGTAAAGCAGAAGCCCGCTTTGTTCCTGCGTCTCTCCCTCCCGCCCCCTCCCAAGCTTTCTTCTGCGGAAGGTCTCTCTCCTGCCTCGTCACACAGAGGTTTATGTTTTAGGGTGGGGTAATGTGTGCTTATATTGGAAATAGTAATTTAAGAACAGACCCAGAAATAAGAGGTCACATAAAACGGGGAAAAGAAATTTCCTATGTAGGTGTTATTTGCATAGTCAAAGTTAAGGAGAATTTGTTCTGGTGAGAGGTGTTCTTCTTCTTCTTCTTCTTCTTCTTTTTAGGGGTGTTTGGTTTCTGTTTTGTTTTGCTGGGGTGAGGCTTCATGGCGAGGTTTCTTTTCTGCACATTGTTGCCAGGTTTTGGACTATGCTCATGTGCACACTCCCTGTTGGCCAGTGAAGACCTTTGCCTCCTGCTGGTGTAGGGCCGGGTGCCCTGACTTGGGCTGCAGCTGAGTCTTAGGCGCTTAATCTTGACATTGGGAATGTGTCTAGATTCCTCTGCCTCTTCCAGGTCTGAAATGAGAGACTTGGATGAGACCAATGTTAACAACCTATGATACTAGGACTAGATGGCATCTAATGGCCCTTGGCTAGTTTTGTGAGTCTATGCTTTTTAATTGAGACATAATCATTGTACATATACTTATGGGCTGCGTGTGATATTTTGGAAACGTGCAGACAATGTAATGATCAAATCAGAGTCATTGAGATATTCATCCCCTCAAACATTTATCAATCACTTGTTTGTGTTGAGAACATTCCAAATCTTCTCTTCTAGCTATTTTGAAATACATAATAATTTATTGACAACTATAGGCACCCTAGTTTTCTATCAAACACTAAAATTTATTCCTTTTATCTAGCTGTATTTTTGCACCAGTTAACCAACTTCTCTTCACCCCTTTTTCCCTCTACCCTTCCCAGCCTCTGGTAACCACCATTCTATTCTCCACCTCAACTTGTTTAGCTCCCACGTATAAGTGACAGCATGTGATATTTGTCTTTCTGTGTCTGACTTATTTCACTTAACCTAATGACCTCCAGTTCCATCCATGTTGCTGCAAATGACAGGATTTTATTCTTTTTTTATGGCTGAGCCATATTCCATATGTATCAATATACACACCACCTTTTATTTATCCCTTCATCTGTTGATGGACACTTAGGTTGATTCCATATCTTGGCTATTGTGTATAGCCAAGTGACAAACATGGGAGTGCAGATATCTCTTCTATATACTGATTTCCTTTCTTTTGGATACATACCCAGTAGTGGGATTGCTGGATTGTATGGTAGTTCTATTTTCAGTCTTTTGAGGAATGACCCTGTTTTCCGTAGTGGCTGTACTATATACATTCCCACCAATAGTGCGCCACAGTTCCCCTTTCTCCTCATCCTTGCCAGCATTTGTTATTTTTTTTGTCTATTTGATAATAGCCATTTTTACTGGGGTGAGCTGATATCTCATTGTGGTTTTGATTTGCATTTCCTTGGTTATTAGTGATGGTAAGCATTTTTTGCATATGCCTTTTGGCCATTTGTATGTGCATGAATCTTTCAAACATGCTACACCAGAAAACACCTGCATTCCAAGGGAAACAAACATGTTCCCACTCCCTTTAAACCTGTATCATACTATTCTTTCTGCCTTTCTTTCCCCTGTAACTTCATGTACCCTCAGGTTAGCCTAACTTAAGTTAGGCTTTTCCTGACCACCCCATAGCCTCTAGACTGGTTTAAGTGTTTCTGCTATGAGCCCTCGTCTTCCCTGGAGTTGCTGCATCAGAAAACTATAGTAATTGCTCACTTAACTGCCTCTTTCCCCAGATACTCTGTAGGCTCATGAGAATGGGTCAGGTATGCTTTGTTTCTTATATTCCCACACCTAGTTCCATGCTTGGTACCTAATAGACATGCAAGAAATAATTTATGAAAGGAAAACAGTGTTTGTCACTTTCACACTTTCATTTTTGGGTTTGGTATGAGCACATTTTTTGGCTTTTTTGGATGTAAGATCTAGTCTGTTTTTTCATCAATGTTTTTTACTGGTCTTTATCTCATCCTGGGAAGTTGGGGTCGGAGGGTTTTGTTAGGTTGAACATAGCTGGGGTGTTTGTCCACATGTTCTGCTATTGGCAGGATGCTGAGTGGGCTTTTCCAACCCTGCTTAAAGGAGGCAGCGCTTGGTGAGCTGTTGCTGGTTTTCTGTTTTTATTTTAACCTTTGCAGCTGTTGGTTTATTAGTAACATGGACTCAAATGTTCAGTATTCATCCTGAAATTACATGAGCAAATGCAAATGTAAAGAATACAAGTCAAAATTACTGTAGGATGACAAACAAAAGAAGATAAGATGATAAGAATCTTATGATCACAAAAGCATATAAGATTATAAGAATGCTATTTTAAAATACTGGCCCTTTAAAAGAATGATAACCTCAAACCCCACAAAATTGCCAAGTTTATTCCCTAGACTGCTAAGCAGGTAAACATGATCCTAATGAATGAGTGTGGGTTTTGTAAAGAAAAATTACATTCAAATAAGTTGAACAATTTGTATTGAGATGCAAGGTTTAAGCATCTTCTTTCCTCATATCTATTTGATTTCTTTTTTTTCTTTTTTAAATTTTAGCCACCTGTCTTTAGCCAGACCTATTTAATTTATGGAGGGGCAAATCACAATACAGGAAAATATACCCTATTTTAAATGTGACACCATTCTAAAGGCTGGCCAATAAATTGAAAAACACTCTTTATGGAGAATCTCAAGTCTCCTGAGCAGTCCATATTTAGATAAATGGAAAAAGACATGTACAACCAGCACTTTACTGGTCTTCACTGGGACTAACATCAACAAAAAATGTAATATGATAGTCTTTTGTCTTTGAGCTCATACTTTGGCAGATTTAGTCTCAGGTCATCTATAATGTGAGAACTGCAAAATATTATATGGTAGTTATACTAATGGGAGTTAAAAATAGAGTCCTCATGTTAAGATTAGAGCCTAGTTTTCTATTAGCCCTTCAAGAACAGATGTTCAAAATGTTTGATTCTAATAATCCCATGCTGTGGGTAGATTGGTTATTCTTCACTTTGTAAACATAAGTGGGCTATGTGAAATTTGTTATCAACTAATCAAGATTTTAGAGTTTTAGGTATGGATAAAAACTATCTCAATTTAACTTTTATTCCCTCCATCATGATATAAAGGGTGTATAGACAAATCTCTTTATCAGCTAACTATATGAAAAGATAAACACTGTAATAATTCATGTGGTCCAAAATAGGCAAAAGCAAAAGATTAGCTTCCTCTCAAGATGAAAAATTTCAGCCCTTTGGAAAGGACAACAATACTAATTTTAAAAATTGTATTTATTTATAAGCATTCAGAATTTCAACAAAATAGCTACAACTTTTTTTTTTTTTTGTAATACAGAGTGGTATTCAGTTAACAGAACAACAATTGTTTCACACAAGCTGTATCAGAGCAAACTGAAGATAAAACAATCTACCACCCCCACATATAACTAGTTTTGCTGTGCGCCGACAAGAACCTGCTTTGAATTTCCATGCCAATTTGCAACCCCCCTACTGTACCAGAGAAGGTTAGTGGCTACTGAAAACACCACCGGGACAGGGCTAGCTAAAGACACATTTGGTGGTGTGTTAAATACACAAAAAACGACACTGTACAGCTTAAAAACAAATCTTACACGGCCTTACATTGCAATTTTTTTCTTTAAAAGGTGTTATGTATAGGGGGGTTAAATGCTTTATAGACAAGAAAAAAACTGTGCTAGAATCAACTTCCTCATCATCATCATCTACTTCTTCATCTTCTTCCTCTTCCTTCTTTTCTTTTTCTTTCTTTCTTTTCTTTTCTTTCTTTTTCTTTCTTTTTTCTTTTCTTTTTTTCTTTTCTTTTTCTTTTCTTTTTTTTTTTTTTTCTGCTTGTTCCAGCCTTGGTGACTCCCTTTTGTTTTGAAACAGAGTTTCACTCTCTTACCCAGGCTAGAGTGCCATGGCATCAGCTTAGCTCACAGCAACCTCAAACTCCTGGGCTTAAGCAATCCTTCTGCCTCAGCCTCCTGAGTAGCTGGGACTACAGGCATGCGCCACCATGCCCAGCTAATTTTTTTCTATATATTTTTAGTTGTTCAGTTAATTTCTTTCTATTTTTAGTAGACATGGGGTCTTGCTCTTGCTCAGGCTGGTTTCGAACTCTGAGCCCAAACAATCCATCTGCCTCGGCCTGATGACTCCCTTTTGTAGGGGATCATTTAGCTTGGTTAGCAGCAATATCCCTTTTGTATTTTTCCTTCAGCTTTGCAGTCTCTTTTTTTCACAAGGCTGCTTGTCATCTGCAGCAATGTTAGTCCACATCTCTTTCTTTTCAATATCACCGATGGATGGCCTGGGATGTCCTCCTTTGATTTGGGGGCAATACTAAGAACAGAACAAGAAAAAGGCCAAAGGAAGCCTGTTGAGTGCATTGGGGGCCCTGAACTTCTTTTTGGTTTCCCTTTCAGGAGAGATATGTTTTCATTTCTTTTTCAGGATGAGCCTTGCCCGTCTTTACCATGTTTTCATATTTTCCTTTCCCTTGAGCAGACATGGCCTTCTACCTCTCTGAGCACTTCTTAAAAAACTCGGAGAAGTTGAGTGAAGTGGGTGCTTTTTCTTGTGCTCCTCCTGACAAGTTTGCACAAAGAATGCACATGATGACATCTTGCCTCTTGGCTTCTTAGGATCTCCTGTGCCCATGTTTAGTTATATTTCCTTAGCGAGGCACAGAGTGGCCCAGTGCCTGTCCAGCTCTCACTTGACCGGGCGCTGTCTCTATGGAGCTCAATGTACGGCCAAGGCTATCAGGGCAGAAGCCAGACCCGGCCTCCTCACTCTCTCTGCTTGGTAACATGACTCTCATTTTTTTAAAATATGTTCCTTTTCTAAAATAACCAACTTAAAAGAGAGTGACTGAATCACCAAAGATCAGAGCTGCATGTGTTCTTAGAAGGTGCCCTTCACTCTGTGGATGGTGACGCCAAGACTCAGATTGGGGAAGGGCCTTGCTTAAGGTCACCAGCTAGAAGAAGGAACCAAGCTGGTACCAGAACCCAGGTTGTATCCACCATCCAGGGTAATTCCACAGAAGCACAACTGATTTGACGCCAATGATCTCACTTTTCTCCAAGATACTTTTGCACCTGGAAAGAACCATGTCATGTCCTACTTCTAGACTCCGAAGTCCTTGGTTACTTGTACTAATACTTTATTAATGTCACGTGGCAGTTGATACTCCATCTCATGTGGGCCTCGGAGCCATGTCTGAAGCGGGTATTACCCTGTTCGTTTTATGATGACAATGAGGTCGGGATGATTAAGGCTTTCTTACAAGAACACAAAAGCAGCAACTGGCAGAATGGGGTTTACAATTTTTCTGCCACACCCAGTGGCACTGCCTGCTTCCTTTTTTGATGTTAATTTTTAATCAGATGAGTAATACAGAAACACTCTTGATGAAAAAATTAAAATGTTATAAAGCTAATTTCCCTTTTGACTGCCACCAGTCCCCTTCCTCTGATCGTGGAGGTAAGTGACACAATGAGTTTGGTGTCAATGCCACAAGATACTTCTCTATGCATTCACTTTCATGTATCCGAGCCCACCAAAAAAAAAAAAATGCAAAATGTTTATTTATTTTATAAGAAGTGTTTCATATTTTATTCCTTCTTTTGAAATGTACCATCTTCATCATTAATATGGCTTGGAATTTTCATGTCAATTCATATAAGTCTCTCTCATACTATTAATCTACATAGAATTCCATGAAATAAATATGTACCAATATAGCCATTTCCCATACATACATTGTCCACACCATTCACATAAATATGAGTCTGCAATAAACATTTGCAAATAGGTGCCCTTGTGTACACGTTGTTGTAGGGTAGATAACAAATGTAAAGTTGCTAAGGCAGAGCTAGGACACATGCATATTGAATATTAATAGAAGCTGCCCAATTGCCCCACAGTGTGCCTGTATCAATTCACACCCCATCTCACTCCAGCGTATTCCAGAAGCTTAAGTCCTTTCCTAGGTCCCTTCCCAAAATATATTGGAGTCCCTTTTATTCACACCCTGGTCAACACCTGATATTATCAGTGTTCTAAGTTTTTTTCTAGACTAGCAGGTGGAATTCATTGGCTGCTTGTGTTTCCCTATCTATGAATTGTCTATTATGTCCTTTGCTAGTTTTTCTATTGGGTCTTCTCTTATTGAGTAGTAGGCTACCTCCTTTAATACTATGATACTTGAGAACATAAACTGTTGAACCTCTGGTGGAATACTTTTTGCACATTTTTAAAATTAACTTACCAGATATTAATGAGAACAAGCTCATATTTTAGTGGTGATTAGTTTTAGGTGCATGTGTGCTATGTTGCTCTCAGAGCTGAGGGTGATGACAATGAATTTCTTATTTTTCTCTTGGTTTCATGGGGAGCAAAATGGACTTCCCACTGCGTTTCTGCTGTGGCAACATAAAGAGACTGAATTCAGGGAAGGCTGCAGGCTGGTCCACATTGGGAATGACCTTTCATAATAAGAGCCAACTGTGAAAAACCTGGAAAACACATGGTTTTGCTTACTATCTGGGTGATTCTTAGGGCTCATGTCCATCTTCTCCTAGGGAGAGGAATACCTCTCTTTAGGGCACGTTGGAGAAGACAATGAGCAGGGACCCAGGTACCCAAAGGGGAGCAGAGTGTGGTTCTCATAGTCTTGAGAGTTACAGCCTGCCTCGCTCTCACATCACTGGCATTTTTGGGGGGTGGGGGGCAGTTTAGAACAATCACTGATGCTCAGTTAAACCTCTGGGCTTGACATTTGCAACGGCAAAAATGAAATGTTTCTCAGGTTATTAGAGATGGAAGTCATCTTGGAAGAGCTTGTCCAGTGGCTCTCAAACACCGTGTGAGTGGTCAACTACATCAGAATGACCTGGAGTACTTCATCAATATACATATCCACAGGCCTTGGAAGCAGAGATTCAGACTCAGGCAATAAAGTATTTTTAACAAGCTCCCCAGATCATGTTAATGAGCAGCCAAAGTTGGGAAACACTGATGCTTCCCTGTAGAAAGGGTGAAACAGGCCAGGTGTGGTGGCTCACACCTGTAATCCTAGCACTCTGGGAGGCTGAGATGGGAGGATTGCTCGAGGTCAGGAGTTCGAGGCCAGCCTGAGCAAGAGCTAGACCCTGTTTCTACTGAAAAATAGAAAGAAATTAGTTGGACAACTAAAAATATATAGAAAAATTAGCCAGGCATGGTGGTGCATGCCTGTAGTCCCAGCTACTCGGGAGGCTGAGGCAGGAGGATTGCTTGAGCCCAGGAGTTTGAGGTTGCTGTGAGTTAGGCTGATGCCACGGCACTCTATCCCCGGCAGCAGAGTGAGACTCTGTCTCAAAAAAAAAAGGGGGTGAAATCACACATAGCTGACATGGTAAACCCAAGCCTCACAGCATATTTGTATGTCACAGCTGCCAGTCTATTACAGATAATTCATGTGCCCCTTCTAGCTCTAACAATTAAAGAAATACATTCTGCTAAGTAAAAGAAGCCAGGCACAGAAAGACAGATACTGTATATGATCTCACTAATTGGTGGAATCTAAAAAAGTCGACCTCATAGAAACACAGAGTTGAAAGGTGGGTACCAGAGGCTGAGGGAGTAGGGGAGTAATGCGAAAAGGGAAGATGTTGGTCAAATGATACAAAGTTTCACTTAGACTGGAGAACTAAGTTTTAGTGATCTATTGCACTGCATGGTGACCTCAGTTAATAATGATATATTGCATAATTCCAAATTGCTGCAAGGATAGATTTTTAACATTCTTATAAGAAAAATCGATCAGTTGGAGAGGTGATGGATATGTTGATTAGCTTGATTGAAACTGTCTACAATGCATACACAGATTGAAACATCACACTGTACTCCATAAATATACACAATTAGTTGTCCGTTAAAAAAAATAATAGCTCACAAACTCTGCTGAACTTTATATTATCTCACAGCAAGAAAATGGTCCAGAGCAGGTCCAATTCCGGTAGTGAAAGGCGAGAAGGGCAATGGAATACAGGTTTATAGCGTAGCTTCGTGTCATAGCGCTCTATGGCGTGGGAGACTCTTTTAAGGCATCGAGTCAGTAGTGCACCAGGTATATTAACGGAGACACAGCCTGCAGAGTGCTGCTTTTGGAGCACCTGGCTATATGAATTAGTGGAACTAGGTTGCACGGTCAGGATTTTACATTTGAGAGTTTCTTGGTTATTGAACGGTACTCAAGATTGGAGTGTTTAAATCAGCAAAAAGGACTAGCAGTGGAGATGAGTTTGGAGACTCGAGTGGTCAGCCATCTCCACTTGCGGGTAGAAGCACATTGGAGTCAGAAACTCAGCAGCACTGAAAGGCACGTCAAGATTTATGCTAAAGAAACATATAGACTTCAAGGCCAGGTGTGGTGGTGCATGCCTGTAGTCCCAGCTACTTGGGAGGCTGAGGCAGGAGGATCGCTTGAGCCCAGGAGTTGGAGGTTGCGGTGAGCCATGATGATGCCACTGTACTCTGGATTCAGCAACAGAGTGAGACTCTTGTCTCAAAAACAAACAAACAAAAACCATCTAAACTTTGACTCTCTTCATCTCTTCCTGGAAGCATCTATTCACATAAGAACTGTGTAGCATATTAGAGAGATTTCAGTACCACACATCCTAGTTTTCTCATTTTTCCTCACAGCACCAGCCGCATCTGAGATTGTTGTGACATCGTATGTGGGTCAGCCCGTGACTTTGCCCTGCTCGTACTCGTCCTGGTCTCAGAGCAGTAACAGCATGTGCTGGGGCAAAGGCCAGTGTCCCAACTCCAAATGCAACGAGGAGCTTATCAACACTGATGGGACGAAGGTGATCTCCAGGAAGTCAGCAAGATACAGTCTTCGGGGGAGTGTCTGGAGAGGCGAAGTCTCCCTGACCATCTCAAACCCCAGTGAAGGTGACAGCGGTGTGTACTGCTGCCGCATCGAGGTGCCCGGCTGGTTCAACGATGTAAAGAGGAACATTCGCCTGCAGCTGGAGAGAGGTGAGCACGTCAAGAGGCCGGCGCGGGTGGAAGGGGAGAGTCAGTGGTTAACCGGTAATAGGTTCAGTGGGTGGTGATGAAGAGGTTGTAGTCGCTTAAGCAGTGAGTGGGAAGACTGAATTTGAAATGAGGAGCCCTGCTATGGGGTAGGCAGGTAAACTCAAATGCCCGTGGGGGCTAAGAAAGCCACAGCAATGAGTGAGTGGAAGGAGGGGGAAGGAACCATCGAATTGTAGGGCCAATCTGAGAGGGGCACCCACTACTTTATTTAGGGGATTGGTGGCCTGCAAAAATGTGGGCACAGTGTTTTCAGTTCTCTCAATTTTTATGTGACCCATGTTTGAAAGGATGGCATTGCTAGTAAATCATCTGACATTAAAAAAAAAAAAAAGAAAAAAGTCACCGCACACAATGCCCCCTTTGTTTGCCTAACCACCTGTGGCTTACCTTGTCTTCTTTACGAGTTTGTTTTACAGAACGGGAAAAGAACTGAGCAGACAAAAAAGGGTGTGTGGCCCTCCTCCCCATCTGCCAGACCGTATTCAGATAAAGCCAGCCTAGCAGAGAAGAAAAAAAAACAGCTGCCTCCCATTATCATTTTGCAATAATAACTACTCTACCCTTTATAACTGCAATAAAAATCCCAAGTCACTCAGCCTCGGGGCCAGCATTCCTTCTTTCTTTCATGCTGTGCCCTTTCCTCCCTTGGAAAGTGAAATAAACTTCTTGCTTCAAAACTTATCCTAATCTTTGAGTCGAGAATTCTTTCTCAACCGGTGGTATGAGCCCCCTCCCACCCCCTTCCTTAACAATGTTGACTTTTGCATGTTGGCAGATTTTAAAATAATAAAAAAAATTCTATGCAAACTAAATAAAATGTGTCCATGGATTGGCTTCAGCCTATAAGCCAATAGTTTGCTACTTCTGGCAGAGGAGAAAGGGCATGGGATTTGGAGACAGTCATAGTAGTTTTCAGGTGCTCTTTTCTTCTGCTACTATTAGTTGTTTTTGATGAAATTTGGAATATGGTGGGACTCCTAAAGATTTGAGCTGCATTGAACCTGTGGTTGAACAATGCTAACAATAATCAACTTTAGTCCTTGTCTGGAATGGAGCTTCTCAAAGCGAGCTCTGTATTCCACCTACATCCAGGTCACCTGGAGGATTTGGGGCTCCATTCCTAACTAGATCAGCACCTGGGAAGGTCTAGGTAGGGATATTCTTATTCTTTCTCTTTTTTTTTCTTTTTTATTTTTTTTAGCTAGGAAAACCTGGGGAATTATTCTTTCTCAAGTGACTATAATGCACTTTAGAATTTGAGAACAACTGATGTGGATGCATCTAATTAGAGAACTTGTACACATATTAGTATATTAATTTATTTTTCTTAAAGCAACTTTGTGAGATAGAAGGTATTGTTACAATTTTGCAGAAGAAGGAAATGAGCTTTATTAAAGGTAAATGACTCCAACCCAAGTCTTCTTTTGTCAAGTCTGGTATAACCAGCTATTCTTTTATAAAATAATTGTTGACCTCAATACTGAACAGGGTCATTTCCAAGTCCATGTGGAACAAATGGTGTCTTTCTGGTCTATTAGAGTCAATGGAAATTTGGAATATTCCAGAGAGGGTGATATCTGTAGAATAAACTGTGGCTGATGAACCCAAATTCAGATGGTCAGAGAGTGAATGGTGTTGGTGTGAACCAATCTTGAATATCTGAAAGATACTACATTCTTACCCTAGGTTTCATACTTTGGGCTCACTTTTCATGCAGTCATTCATTTGCACATTTATGCCATGTTTTTGGAGCACCTACGACGTGCCAGTCACTGTGATAGCATTGGATCTGTGGCAGAGAACAAAAGAAATATCAGATTTTCCACTCAGGGCTCTTAAAGTATAGTGGGAGAAACAGACAGTAAGCAATAATAATAAAATAAGTGTGTAGTTATGGAATGCAATAAAGGCTGTGAAGGTAAAGCATGAGAGCACGTAACAGAAGCACCTAATTGTTACTGCCGAATCTGGGTGGCCTCCTTGCAGAAGTGACTTTTGAGCGGAAGCAGGAAAGTTAAGTACAAGTCAGCCTGGTGAAGCAGGAGAACAGGCAGCAGCAGCAAGTGCAAACATCCCTACAGCTGCAAGGTCCCTGAGGTCTTCCAAGACGTGTTCTAAGGGCTGCAGAAAGATCCCTTGGCTGGGAAAAGTGAGCAGAGGGAAGTGGAGACATGAAAATGGCAAGAAAGGCAGGGCCAGGTCAGATGGAGGCCTGTGGGCCAAGGTGTGGGACTGGGTTCTTTATCTCAAGGTCAAGCAGAGCCCAGGACAAGCTTTAAGCAGGGGATGGGCATAGATTTGTCACTTTAGAAGATCAGAGGTGGGGGCAGGCAATGCAACGTTAACTGGGCGTTACCGTGGCCCAGGCGAGTGGCCCGGGTGAGGACGACAGAGACGGAGAGGAGTGGATGGGTCCCAGATACATTTACGCTGTTTCCCTTTTCCTCCTCCATCTCTGCTTGGTGCCAGGCATATCTTTTGTTGGTTACAGCCACAACAACCACACGTAGAACGACAACGACAACGACCACAACAACACTTCCAACGACAACCGCACGCCCGACCACCACCTCACAGGTGACGACAACCACGGCTGTGCTTTCCACGACAGTCACGACCACACCCGAGCTCACCACCACGGCGCCATTTCAGACGAGCACCCCCGCTGCCCTCACGACAGCAGCGGGCACCTGCCCCCTGACCACCCTGAGCTCCCTGCCAGCGGCGGCCACAGAAGGGCCCTTCCTTACCGCAGGTACACGGCACAGTTGGCCATTCTTTCCCTTCCGGACGGATGTATCTTGGGTTTCTTAGAACAAGGTTCTCTTGCTGCATGGGGCAGCCCAGCGACATGCTTGTGTGTGTGTGTGTGTGTGTGTGTGTGTGTGTGTGTGTTGTGTGTTAGTTTGCTAGGTCTGTTATAGTGTTATAACAAACACCAAAGGCTGGGTGGCTTACACCACGGGAATTTATTTTCTCACAGTTCTGGGTGCTAGAAATCCAAAGTCAAGGTGTCAGCCAAGCTGATTTCTTCTAACTCCTCTTTTTTGGCTCATAGTTGGCAGTCATCTCCCTGTGTCCGCCCTCTGCCTATCCTCTTGTGTCTAATCTCTCTCTCCTTCTCTTTTTGTTTTGAGACAGAGTCTCACTTTGTTGCCCAGGCTAGAGTGGTGCCGTGGCATTAGCCTAGCTCACAGCACCTCACACTCCTGGGCTCCAAGCAATCCTGCTGCTCCACCTCCCGATAGCTGGGACTACAGGCATGCGCCACCATGCGCTCAATTTTTCTATATATATTAGTTGCCAATTAATTTCTTCTATTTATAATAGAGACAGGGTCTCGCTCTTTGCTCAGGCCTTGTTTTGAACTCCTGACCTCGAGCAATCCGCCGCCTCGGCCTCCCAGAGTGCTAGGATTGTCCTAATCTCTTATAAGGACACCAGTCAATATTGGATTAGAGTCTATCAGTATGACCTCATAGGAATTTGGGGGGTGGGGAGACACAATTTAGCCCATAATTGTGTGTGTGTGTCAGTGAGGATGTGGTTTCACCAAACTATTCCTTGTCTTTTCTTTTGTTACTGTTTCTCTTTTTTTCCTATTTTTTCATTGTTTTCAAAAAGTCACCATTTTGAGTTCTCCAGTTGAGTTCCCAGGAGTCTTGCAGGAGAGGCTGAGTGAAGAACCAGGAAAGGTCACTTGGGGTCAGACTCCAGTTTCATTCCTTTAGGGCATTAGAGATTGGCTGAGGAAATAGTTCTAGATGCCTTAACATATCCCTTGGTAATAAACTAGTTCTTTTCTTTTCTTTTTTCTCCTTCTTCTCTTTCTCTTTCTTTCTTTCTTTCTTTCTCTCTTTTTTTTTTTCTTTTCTCTCTCTCTCTCTCTCTCTTTTCTCTTCTCTCCTCTCTCTCTCCTCCTTCTTCTTCTCTCTGCTTCCCCCTCTTTCTCCCTCTCTCTCTCTTCTCTCTTCTTCCTTTTCTTTCGCTTTCTTCTTTCTTCACCCCACACTCGCCCCCGAGCAATCCTCCTGATCCTGCATCTGGTGGCTGTCACTGAGTGACCAGCTCCACTGCTCAGGGCCTGTCAGGCTCCCACTGCTCCAACCTCTGATTCTGGGGTAAAAATCCCGGACGCAATCATGAGATAGCTTGAAGGGCTGCTTAGACATTCAGCTGCCTCTGTAAGGCCTGGATAATTCAAATAGCTTCACAAAATTGACTTGGCTACTTCTCTTATCCTCTGAGTAGTCACCTAAAATCCATGAACCCTAAACCAAGCAATTTTTGTATGTCGTTTTTGTTCCTTTGGGGTTTAAAATAACTATCTTAAAACACAACATTTGTACTTTCTATTCCTTGATTCTAAAAATTACTAACTTTTCATAATTACAAAATATAGAGAGAAGCACAAAGACAATTATACAAATAGCGCTGAGTGTGGTGGCACATGCCTGGAGACCCAGCTACTCGGGAGGCTGAAGCGGGAGGATCATTCGAGCCCAGGAGTTCGAGTCAAGCCTAGGCACCATCGTGAGATCCAGTCTCTAAAAACAATTAAATAAATACACTAAAAATAAACATATCCCCGAATCCCGCCTTCCACCAAACACAGTAATACTGTCATATTTTTAGCTGCTTTTTATCAACCTTTTTTCTCTTCCAGAATCAGAAACCATCCTTCCCACCAGGAACTCTTCGAGAAGCACGGAGTCTACTGCAGACGCTGCCCTGCCCACGTCCAAAGGTTGTAGACCAAGGAGAGGGAAACTTTGAATAAAATGTTGTTGAATCAGATGGCTAGAGATGACCTTTGGGTCTTTGGGGCCATGAAATCCACCTGGGGCGAATTGACATTGGGGCAGCATTGGTGGTTTGTTTATTGCTGTGTCAGAGAGAGAGAGAGAGAGAGAAAGAAAGAGAGAAAGGAAAAGAGTAGAGAGAGCAAGCAAGCCCTTCTCTTTTTTTTTTTGAGACAGAGTCTCGCTTTGTATCCCAGGCTAGAGTGAGTGCCGTGGCATCAGCCTAGCTCACAGCAACCTCAAACTCCTGGGCTCAAGCAATCCTGCTGCCTCAGCCTCCCGAGTAGCTGGGACTACAGGCATGCGCCACCATGCCCGGCTAATTTTTTCTATATATATTAGTTGGCCAATTCATTTCTTTCTATTTATAGTAGAGACGGGGGTCTCGTTCTTGCTCAGGCTGGTTTCGAACTCCTGACCTCTAGCAATCCGCCCACCTCGGCCTCCCAGAGTGCTAGGATTAGAGGCATGAGCCACTGCGCCCGGCCAAGCAAGCCGTTCTTGATTCATGCAATTCTCCACGGCAGCACCTGGAACATGCCCCTAGCATATCCTACCCAGGGGCAGAGAGTACCCTAACACAAGACGTGACTCGCATCCTTGGGGGTGCTAGAGAGGACTGTTTGGGCTTGATCCCCGTTCTCCTATGTTTTGCTGGATGTCTCTGGCTGCAGTTTATTCCTAGTTTTTGGTAGAGTTGTATTAACTGCATGCACGTAAAGGACTTACATGAGTGCCTGATTCGTGAGCCCTCAGATGGTAGCAGTTACCTTAACAGAGCTTCTACTCTAGCAAAGGAGAGCAGACATCTACAGGGCAGGCAGATCAGTGTTTGTGGTAGTGCAACACAAGGAGGCAGTGTGGTGGAGTGATTGAGCTGTGCAGTGTGGCTTCACACTGCCTGAGTACAAACCCTGCCTCTTCCCTGCTGTGTGACTTCAGGAAAGCTACTTAATCTCTCTGGGCTTTAGTTTCCTCATTGGTAAAATGGGAACAAGAATAACATCTATCCTGTGGCTCTTTCTGAATATTAAATGAGAGAATGCACGTAAATCGCTTAGGACAGTGTCCGGCACGTGAGAAATGCTCGGTACATATTAGCTCTTCTATATTTTTTTTAAATAATTACATTTTGTTTTAATTTTCTTTTTTTTTTAGTAAAGATGGAGTCTCGCTCTTGCTCAGGCTGGTCTCGAACTCCTGAGCTCTAGCGATCACGCCTGCCTCCACCTCCCAGAGTGCTAGGATTACAGGTGTGAGCCACCGTGCCTGGCCTGGCTCTTCTATTGTTATGATAGAAGTTGGTATAGGGGACGGTAAGTCACCAAAAGCAGGAAGACAGGCATTTACCTAAGTCTGTTTTCTTCCTTCCTTTGTTTTTCGGAAGAGTCTGAGGCTTCAACGTCCCAGGACGCCCAGGTGTGGGAAATGAGGGATTCCGGAACGACCCCTCCGCCTAGAGGTAAGGAGGCTGTGCTCTTGTGAGTGTTTGTGTTTGGCCGTGGTGTCGCCTGCCTGCTTGTCTTGGAATTCAGCTGTTTGGGTTCCTGTGTGGACACATCCCACATCCTCCCGCATGCTGGGACGACAGCAAAACACGCTGCAAGCCTCAGTGCTGGCTTCTCCCGTCTTCTGCTCATCTTGGAAGCCCCTTTGTTGAGTTCTCCCTTTCTCTCTTTTTTTTTGAGGACAGAGCTCACTTTGTTGCCCAGGCTAGAGTGAGTGCCGTGGCGTCAGCCTGGCTCACAGCAACCTCAGACTCCTGGGCTCAAGTGATCCTCCTGCCTCAGCCTCCCGAGGAGCTGGGACTACAGGCATGCGCCACCATGCCTGGCTAATTTCTCTCTATATATTAGTTGGCCAATTAATTTCTTTCTATTTATAGTAGAGATGGGGTCTCGCTCTTGCTCAGGCTAGTTTCGAACTCCTGACCTCGAGCAATCCGCCAGCCTCGGCCTCCCAGAGTGCTAGGATTACAGGCGTGAGCCACCGCGCCCGGCCGAGTTCTCCCTTTCTCATTAGCAGCTTCTGACCTGAAGATAGGAATGGTAGTAGGAAGATCACCTGCTCGTTTTCCAAACTATTATTTATTTATTTTAAATTACACAAATGTTTTACACTGATGCACTTTTTTAGGGGTACATGAAAACAGAAAATTCTCGTTGATACCCCGTCCTCAATCCCAGCCCCCTCTGCTTAGATAGTAACTGTTATTATTAGTTGAAGATAATCATTCTAGATCTTTTTTCCATTCCCTTATGTCTGTATAGATATATAAATTAATAGTTTTGTTTATAGAAATAGTTTTGTATATTTTTTTTTAAAAAATGTTCTCATATAGTATGCAGCCTTCTGCAGTTTTTTTAATTCACTTAACATTATATATTGGACCACTTTCTTTTTCAGTCATTGTAGATCTGTATCATTAGGTTAAACTTCTGTATAATATTTCATACTATGGGAACTCCTAGCATCTATTGTCTATTGGGGGACATTTAAATTGTTACAATGTTGGTTTTTATAAACAGTGTTGCAGGCCGGGCGCGGTGGCTCACGCCTGTAATCCTAGCTCTCTGGGAGGCCGAGACGGGCGGATTGCTCAAGGTCAGGAGTTCGAAACCAGCCTGAGCAAGAGCGAGACCCCGTCTCTACTATAAATAGAAAGAAATTAATTGGCCAACTAAAAATATATATACAAAAAATTAGCCGGGCATGGTGGCGCATGCCTGTAGTCCCAGCTACTCGGGAGGCTGAGGCAGGAGGATTGCTTGAGCCCAGGAGTTTGAGGTTGCTGTGAGCTAGGCTGACGCCACGGCACTCACTCTAGCCTGGGCAACAAGTGAGACTCTGTCTCAAAAAAAAAACAAAAAAAAAAACAGTGCTGCAGTGGACATCCCTGTACTCGAATGCCTCCCTGAGCATTTATGCAAGTGTTTCTCTAGTTAGGGTGGTGACCAAGAAGTAGAAATGCTAGGTCCAAAAATGTGCATTTTTAAATTTAATAACTTTTGGAAAAATGTCCTCAAAAAAGGCTGTGCCAATTGATTTTTCCATCCACAGAAAAATAATTTGTTTAATTTATTTCATTCTCCTGGGAGGAAAATCTCACCTTGTTCTTTTCCTATTCTGATTCACAGAGGGTTTGAGTGCCTTTCTATATGTCTAGTAGCCAGGAAACACCATCCTTTAATGCCGTGAAGGAGGCAGTGTAAATCACTCGCAAAGGCTCAGAAGACAGAATTGCTGGGAACAGACAAGGGGGAGTGGAAAGGAATAGGTTTTGAAGTCAGACTATTACTGAGGGTGAAATGCAAGGTGATCTGATGGTAAAAAGCTTGAGCATGCGCTAACTCAGTGGCGAAGGGAAAATCTGGAGTAGGAGTCGATAACATAAGGGAAACTGGATGTCGAAGACCCCAACCCTCTTTCTCCCATGAGATGGGGTAAGGGTGGGGAACTATTTTTTTCTGGCAGCAGAGAAGGCAGTGACCAGAAAGGTGATGGAGGGTACATAGAGCATTCTAAAACTATTATCCTTTATCCCATTTAAATCTTGGACTCTTGTACATTGAATTACAGGGAACAAGACGCCATCTCATGTTTTACTCTCTTCTACAATATCCCTGGTAATTTTCGTTCTCTTGTCTTTGACCCAATCCCAGGAGGGAGAACAATATTCACAGGCCACACTGCTGGAGAGGAGCTTGGTATAATGCCAGTCGGTTTCCATGTAACATTTAGTCATTAGGAAAGAAGCCAGGGTTTACTGAGCACATACTATGTTCTGGGTCAGTGTCAGGCTGTTTTTATGGGTCACTTCATTGAATCCCTCTTTCAGCAGATACTCATATTCCTATTTTACCTAAATTTCCCAAGGCCACATGGCTCTCAAGTGGCAGATCCAGCAACTCTAGCTCCAGCTCTACCCTCTCAGATTTCATTTTATTTTATCTGGCCTTTCAGTCCTAAATTAAAAGTCATGCTCTTTTCATTTACCATCTTTTCTTCTGATTATTTTTTTGTAAGTAAACATTCACAGTAATAATTACAGTTATCAGCTACTAAGGACTTAACTATATGTTAGGTACTATACTCAAGGTTTTTTGCTTTCATTTTCTTATTTAAGTCTCACAACAAACCTAGGCAGGTATAGAATATCCTTATTTTATAGGCAAAGAAATGGAAGATCAAGGAGTTTATTAAAGAAACTAACATCCACTGAGGTCTATTTTTGTTTTAACACTATGCATTTTGATTTTTTGTGAATTCCTATGCAATAAGTAACTATTGCCAGCTTCATTTTAGAGCCCATGAAGATTAATATCCCGTTCGGTAAATGGTGAACTTGGATTTAACCCACATCTTTCCCACTCTAACACCCTGCTGTGCTGCCTCCTCCTGAGCTCCCCTCTGGAGCCTCTTGCAGAATAAGATGACTTTATTCACATGAAAATGCTTTCAACCCACTCCAGAGGGAGGGCCTGCAGCCTCTTTGGCTATTTCTTTCCCTAGCTAACAATCCCCAATTCCCTTCTTATGTTTATTCTTCATGTAATTTCTGGATGACAAGGCTTCATCCTTGGTTATGGGTTGGTTTATATCCTTAAAGAGGGTCTTGTCAATTACTATTCCCTAAAATTAGCATTATCCACGGTAGCTATTCCTTGCCTCCACTTTACGGCTACCTAGAATACAGCTCAGAGATGTGGAGCCACTTGCCCATGATCACACAGCTGAACAGTGGGAGAGCTGGGAGTCACACCCAGATTTCAGGGATTCTAAACTGTGTCCATGGACTCCTGGATGGAGGTATCTATAGATGAGCTTGATGGCGGGGGAGCATGAACCCCCTGAAATTATACACATAATTGTGTGTGCATGTGTATATATACATTTTTCTGGGGCAAAGTCCAGGACTTTCATTAGAGTCTCCAAAAATTACACAATGCTCCAAAATGGTTAGGAACAACAGACAAACCAATAAATTCAACGACAGACAAAACCAATAAAAACTTGTATGAAAATATTGCATAGGTTTTCTCCCGCCCTGCTCAAAAGTCAGTTACAAGAATACAAACATTTTTCCAGGTACCTAGGAACTCTAATCATACTTTCTAGCCCCTAGGATTAATTTTATTTTTTGCTCAGTAGCAGGAAAATGTGAAATGGTCCCAAATTGCTCCCTAAAGACCCTATCTCTTTTGAGTAGGGATCTGAAGCCAGAGTGTAGAAAGCCACGTGACCGTACCATTTTCGAAATAAAATCAGGTGACCTGGGATTAAGTTCCCTGCAGATTCTATCTCAGGCTTACTTAGACTGCCCAATAACATCCCCGATCCTTATCCTTCTTCCTTGCCCTTTCTTTTCATAGCCTTCTGGGTGGCACGGGGTGAGGGTTAAGCGAGCTTAATTGGGGAGCCTGAAGGCTTATGATTTTATCCCTGCTCTGCCATTTTGTGTTTGTGTGTGTGTGTTTTTTCTTGTAGAGTCTCAGCTGAGTTAACTTTTCTATCCTTTTCTAAATCCCAATGTCCCCAAAATGTAAAATGGGGATAACAGTAGTGTTTATTTCACAGGGCTGCTAAGTGAGGAGACACATGAGAAAACTGCCTAGAATGTATCACCAGCTCATAAATGACAGTCATCACAAGGGTGCCTACTTTTCCTCTTCTTTACATCTCTGTTGTGACTCCAGCTCACACGCCTTCATTTTTAGGCAGTCCAGCAGGGTGACAGGAGGCCACTGCCACCAGCTCCCAACTGACCTGCTGTTCCCGATAAGCGCATAGACATTTTTTGGCTTTATAATTTTTTTTTTTTTAACTGCTAATCACACTAGGGAAACAGCCAGTGACTGTCAAAATTATAAACTTGGGGAAGTTACAAAAGCTTTTAAAATCTCACAATAGTAATTCTCTACTAACTATTAGAATAAATCTGATGTTCTGAGAGCCTTTTGCTGACTTCTTTTTAGATGGCTCTGTAGAACTCTCAATGATTGGTTTTATTCCTGTGGGTGAACATCTTGAATTTTCTGCTGCCTCCCAGTTGTTTTGTTCTCCTCGCATTGCTCAATCTATGCAGGCTCCACTCTATAATTTGGGCTTCAGAATCAAGTTGCTGCTGAAATAGAGCTGTGGTCTAGTTTGCCATTCAAGGGCTTCCAGATTCGTGTTATTTATTTTATAAGGCAAACCCATGTACGTGACTTCTAGTTCAATGCCCTCCTCCAATTTTAAATTGCTTGGCCTGCAGATATTACCTAAATAAGCCCTGCCCAGGGTCCTAACCTCCACTCTCTGGCTGCCTAAAAATGGAGCTGAGACATGTGGAATGACTGGCCCAAGATCACAGGGTTGGACAGAGGGAGAAATGAAACTCACGTGTCTGTGGACTGTTAGGAACTGGGCTGCAGAGAGGGAGGTAAGTGGCAGGTGAGCAAGCGAAGCTTCGTCTGTATT